GGTGACATTCCTCCCTCCATGCCATTTTGAGTGGTCCGAAACACCCCCTATCCAGAGGCTGCAACATGTGGGTGGTATTCGGAGGCAATGTGAAAAGGATAACCCTTTCACGTGCTGCAAGACGAATGGTGTCAGGGCAGTAGTGTGAGGAGTGCCCGTCCATCAGTAAGAGAAGGGGTCGAACTGAAGGAGCGTACTTCAAAAAATGGTTACAGAATCACATGTGGAAAAGCTCCATGTCCATCCACCCATTGCCCGAAAGTCCATATATTGTGCCTGGGACCTCACCAATGGTTAGTTCTGGTGCAAGTGTCTTACCGTCCCAGATGACCATTGGAGGCATGCATAGGCCGGTAGCACTACAGCACCCTACTATTGTTACTTGGGACTTGTTCCCTGACCCAACCGTAGTAACTGAACTACCTCGTTCTGCCACAAACTTTGGCGCCTTCGGGTCAAGTGGCATGCCACTCTCGTCCATGTTAAAAATCTGCCCAGGATGGTCTGTCAACTCATTTTCCTCTAGCGTACGCTCTAGCAGATCGAAGTATCGATTAACCATTTCTGGGTCTGAAGCCTGGGCTCTTACCAGAGACAATGGAGCAGCACTCCTGAGGGACAGATTGGGGTGACGTCAACAAAAACCCTCCCACCAATCATTAGTCACAGTCTTCTTACTGTCCATAACGCTCTGCACCAACGACAACACTTCTTTACGTGACTTTCCGTACCCTATGGATGCACACCTTGAGAGGAATTGAACTAGTTCACCCTCTTCCATTGCATTCAGGTATGGTGGTGGGCCACTCTTAGTTCCTGGCACCGTTTGGCCGCTAACGCGGTCACCAAGAGACGACTTGGGCACATGATAATCTAACGCCGCCCTCCGTATAGATGCGCCGCTAGCAACCACTGCCTGGAGGGCCTGCTCCATTTGTGAATCAGTCCAGCCCTTGTATGTCCCACGCTGCACTTGCGTCGGTGCTAGTAGGTGGATACTTTTGTGGCTTCTAAAGACCCTATCTTTTAATGTTGGGTACTGCAGCATCTTTGATTAGATGTGCAACTGCAGATACATCTACATAAGAACGAAGCTTATCACACACAACCCAGAGGTATGCCCCTATATACACACCAATTCCCCCTAACTCCACACACATTGTCCTGCAAGTGAATTTTTCAGGATTCAGCAAGTGGATTTTCCAGCCTTGTAGCCTTTAGTTGCACAAAGAACCATAAACTATGACAGTGGTTTTATGCATGTATAGTCCTACAACTGCAATCCACAACAAATAAGTTTACTTGTGCTATCCACCTACTATTTACAAAGCTTTGCATGGGTAAACTGGAGACGCAAGTATGTATCCACTCCACATGCACATACCACATCTATGTCGCTGATAATGATGCTGCACATCTTGCCTCCCTTTAGTGCATAGATGCACCCCAGATTTAGTATTTCACAAAGTTTACTCGCATGCTTTACAGTAAAATAACTCACAGAACAAAAACAACGGAAAACCACTCTACTGTTTGGCCAGAAGGCCTGCGCAGAGTCACCTGAATGAGAAAATAATAAAGAAACAAAACATAAACACAGCAAATTTCAGTCCGAACCGGAGTCTGCGTGCAGGAAAACAAGGATTACTTACCTGCTGTTGTTCTCCGATCGGCTGTACAAAGACATGTGACTACTAGAGACAGGGAGCGTGCGCAGTCGCGAGTCCAAAAATAGAGGGCGTGACCCCCGCACTTGGCTCGACCGCGAGCTGCTTCTGCGGAATTTGAGGAAACAGATATGTAGTGTCTATAGAGGAAGGGTAGCTTTACATGTGCACTAGCTTTGGAATCCCCTCCGTCCTCTCTCAAAGTGTTGGTGGCGAGCGTCCGGAAATTGGTAACTTTTCCCGATCTCTGGGGTTATCGGACGTTCACTTCGATCGTTCATAAAATCGTTTGTGTGTAAGGCAGGACCGAGATTTCTCGGATACCTAGCCCACGTGTACCTGTCTATATATTGGTATTATCAGTTTATGTCTAGCCTATTACATAGTCTTACAAACGCGTCCGAAAATTGATGGTGGTCGATAATTGATTGCTGACTCTACATCCAGCACGGTGGAAAACAATCTTGAGTCTACAGAGCCCTGCTGCTCCCGTAATCATGCACAGACACATTATTATACCCACCAATGGTGAGTGTTGTCCAGTAGTCTCTGTCGGTGCTCGTGGACCTCCACGAGGCTGAGGCACATGTTCTCTTGAGTCTGCAGAGGCCAGCAGCTCCTGTAGTCATGCAGAGACATGGCATACGTATGACTGTAGTTTGATGCTTGTAACGCAGGTACCAAGTCAACAGCAATGCCACGACTCAGGCACATAGACACACTATGATTCAACCAGTACTGCTGCACATGTACGCTTCAGAAACGCACCAGTGGTGAGTGTTGTCCAGTAGTCTCTGTCGGTGCTCGTGGACCTCCAAGAGGCTGAGGCACATGTTGTCTTGAGTCTGCAGAGGCCAGCTGCTCCTGTAGTCATGCAGAGACATAGCATACGTATGACTGTAGTCCGATGCTTGTAACGCAAGTACCAAGTCGACAACAATGCCACGACCAAGGCACATAGACACACTATGATTTTCCCTCGGCGCGCATGTGCAGCGAGGGTACGGTAGTTGGGTCTGTCTGTCTGTGTGCGTGTCTGTCTGTTACTCTACATTTCGCTTCACGGGTGTTGGTTTGTCTCACAAAGGATACGACCTACTTAACAGGCGACGAAGGTCAAGATCAAGACCCTGTCGGTTGCCTTTTCCCTTGAGGGTAAACACTTGAAGAACATCGTCGCCAAAGTAAGAGCATGCAAGTAGCACACCTAGTCGACCCATATTAGTCACGTCAATGTCCTTTCCCTTCAACTTTGACCGAAATGTAGCCACCACCGTTGCTGATTGAGTACGTTGTGTTGACAAGAAACATTGCGTAAACAAATCTTCAGGAGCTGGATTTCCCGCAAGGAAATTGGAGGGTTTGGTGGCTAAAGGCACTTATGAGGCACTAGTCAAAACTGGTGGATCGCCACCAGCTACTGATTGACTCCCGGGAGGAGTTGATGTTGTTCCCTGTACGATGCAGTGTGTTTCTGTCAATTATTGAATAGGTTTGGGGGACTTGAACTGGTCAGTGGATTATCCACTGGTGACTCATCTGCTGCTGCAGAATGTGTGGCTGGCTCCAGAGATGCTCTGTCCAAACATGAACTAGGACTCAAACGAAGTGGAGTTAATTGATGCTGGACATCCCTGTTAGCAGCAGCAGGTTGGAGTCCACCTGAGACAATTGGCACAACCATGTTGAGACAATTGGCACAACCATGTTGTGACTAAGCCCATCCCAATTCTCGCTCAGAAAGCTCTGTACATCATCTAACGACAACGTTTCAGCAGGATTACAGGAATCTGCATATGATGGACACCCCCCAGAAGGCTCCACGGGTGGATTGGCCACTGGAGGAGCTGGGCAAGCGATTTGTCTTAGTTGTAGAAACGGTGGGAGTTTGGCACTGGAGACCATGCCATAATCGACGGTGTACTCATTGAAGTTGGGGTGTCACGATATGGCCATTTCACTTCACCAGACAGTGTTGACTGCAGCTGATCCTGCTTTCTGAAAATCATGTTCTGGCGCTCTCTAAGCGATGAAATATCCCATGATAGAGACTCCATGAGGCCTATGATCTTGCCCGACTTCAGGTCAGTTGACTCAGAGCGAAGCGTCTAACCTCACATGCCTCGACTTTGTTACACAAGCGACCTATTGAGTAAAAAGGCACCCCCCTCTTAGCTTGGTTGAACATCAAGGGAGGCAACACAAAGCATACAGAGGTTAGCATTGTTCCCAGTCCAAGGGAGGATAAACAGCCTGGTACAATCTCTAAGTGCTAATCCCCAGAACTGTGGGGATACGAATATTTTCCGTTTATTGCTGTATTCTCTCAACGGCTTTAGCTACCTGTTATGATGCGAAATATCTGGGCACTGTACAATGGCCGTTGTGTACCCGCAGCGATCTAGAGTGTGTCGCATGGGAGAGACCCATCACAACAACGATTAGAACGACTCAGCTACAGGCTTTAGTGGTTGACTACATCCGAGGTGGGACAGCAAGCATGATATCAAGGGAGGCACACCCTACACTGTACGTTTGCTATGCTCTCAGCTAAAACTGGACCCTTGGTGATCTTACTCTGGGCACTGTGGGCCTACCTATTAACATATTGCACCAGGCCATTTTTTATCCCCCACAAAAACAGACTGCGAACAGGGCTAACAGAGGTGCTGACACTTAACTTTCACCCATAACCATGTGCCACACCATCTGATATTTTGCATTTCATATGAGAGTGAAGCCATTTTCCCACATGGATGTAAATTCAGCATGATCCACCCTTCGTATATGCGGATGCACTATAAGGCTCACTTCCCCACCAATGGGACCATCCTTATGCCTATGTTTACTGTAAACAACAACAACAAATAGCCCCAGGCAATACATTATAATGGATTCCCATGCATCAGTATAACTCACAATTTGTAAGAGCTATGTGAACGAAAGTTTGTGTACATAATGTATTGAATAGCCAACATCAAAATCACTACAATACATGTTTGTAAATAACAACAAATAGCCTCAGGCACTTTTCTTCAATTTACTTCTTCACTTCTCAAACTTTCCAATAGTAGCACGCATAGAGATTAAACTTGGTATGTATGCCTATTATATTATTTCCATGACGATTACATGTTTCCATGACGACCGCATATTGTTTGAATTACCCTCGGGCAATTTTCTTTAAAACTACTCCTCTCCTCAAACTTGCTAACTGTAGCACCCATGGAGGTGAGTGCCCATGTATATTACATCGTTTCCATGACAACCACGACAACAAATATCCTCAGGCACTTTTAACCCTCGGCGCGCATGCGCAGCGAGGGTTACGGTAGTTGGGTTTGTGTGTCTGTCTGTTACTCGTCATCTCACTTCTCGAGTGTTCGTTCGTCTCACAAAGGATACCACCTACTGAACGGACAATGAAGGTTAGAAAGTATGTGCGGTTTTCTCTGAAAACGCTCTGTTGCTAAGCTAGAGCGGGAAAAAGGCAATATGCAAATACACAACGGCTTACTATGGCATGATCGATCCGCGTGCTCTGCGTACCTGGGAGGCACCGCCTTTCGCATGCTATCTAGTAGTGTAGTTAGCCTGCGGCAGACTCTGCGCGAGCTGGCAAGAGACCACGAGTAACAGCTATAACTACAAACCCAGCCCATCAATTAGTGGTACGGCGCATGCGTTTACTTACGCGCGCGTCACTGTGCGCCGAGGGTTTGCACTTCAGTGCTTTTCATCTTTATAATTACTTCTTCACTCATCAAATTTGCTAACTGTAGCACGCATGGACTTGAAACTTGGTACGTATGCGCGTAACATGAGAACTATATGTTTCTATGACTACATATTGTTCAAATAGCTTCAGCGACTTCTCCTCAAGCTTGCTAACGGTAGCACTCATGGAGATGAAACTTGGTCAGAATGCGTATGATATGAGTATGATATCGTTTCCATGACAACCACATATTATTTGGACAACAACAAATAGCCTCAGGCATTTACTTCTTCACTCCTCAAACTTGGGAATGAAACTTGGTACGCATGCGCATTACATCATTTCCATGAGGACAACAGCTAAGTCTATTATTAATTTTTATAGGGGGCTTGCCCCCTTTTGCAGAGATATACATAGTAGTATATAAAAATGAATGGAGACAAGTAAATTATAAATCCTTTTACTTGTATCATTTTCACTCACCAACCATGGTGCTTATGTCAGCATGAGCTGGAGGAGTAGCTGAGGTAGAAGCCATGGGAACTGCAAGGAGAAAATTACGACAGGAGGCTCAATCTCAGCAAAAAAATGATCATTGTGGCACCACAGCATAGCACTAGACAAACACCAAGCATTCTTATCGAGCAGGGAGCAACCCAACTCAAACTACAACAAAATATTACACACTGGCTAGTAGCTAACTGCACCTTGTAAGCATAGCCTGAGAAACTTACACCAACGATCTTTCCAGTGAACAGTAAAGCTAGTGTCGTGTTTTGCCGTGTGCATACCTTCATGTGTAGAAGCTAGTTGGGCTAAGGACCGCCACACATGTACACACACACACACAAGGATGTTGTCACATTGGTCACAGTAGTACAAATGTCTGTGTCCCTGTCATGAGTCACGCGGAACATTTTGGTATGTGAAATATAGTTGGGAGGTTGGCAAAAAAGCTTGCGGGCATGTAAAATTCTCTTTCTACTTAAGCAGTACGAATATGCACAGCAGTACCAATATGCACACTGCAACCAATCTTATAGCCACACCTGCACATACCTATATATGGTAACGTGTTTTTTGGAATTGGCTTCGCAGTTCCCACCACAGAGATATGTTTAGAACCAGCAAGCAGTGTTCCTGCATACAACTCTCACCCACAAACTTGTACACAAGTCAAGCAGCTCTCAATTCTCACACTACTACCCCAACGAGGGATCACTGCTGCACCCTTACCTTACGCGCGTCGTGTCCTGGGCAAACGGGCAACGGCGTTCTCCGCTTCTTGGATACAACAGACAGAGGGCACAAGACTGCCTATTACACTGAAGAAGCTGCGGGACATATGGCTAGCTCCACCAGTACAGCCTGACACCACGCGTAGCCTCTTCCACATTTCCATTCTTCTTGTCTCGGCCATGGTAGTAGTGGTACCAACGTTCGTGTTTGTACACCCGACAGCTCTGTCGAGGGGTGTTTCCTCCTGGAGGGACACAGGTGGCAGTGGTTCGGCTTCCTCAGCATTGGACGAAGGAGGGGACTTTCGGTTGTACTTCGGGGCATCTTCTTGAGTATAAATGACGGGTATGTAGAGTGTGAGAGGTCCCACGGGTGGCGGCATGACAGGCCAACCCTACGCAAGTCCGTGGAGCTACGTATAAAGTATGTACGTACGTAGTTTGGAGTTCCACGTGAGTGAGGTGGAATTCCAGAATTCCTCATCTGCCATTCCGCCAGTGGAATTCCGTTTATCCACTCTTGGAATTTTTATTTGTGGCAAAACACTATTCTATTTCCAACTCCAAGAACATTGGCAGTGGAAAGTGGAGTACAGATTCCATGGATGTGGTTGCTTTCTATACCGTACTAATTACCCTGAATATCAAGGAACCCCCAGCAGGTACACACCAGCTGCTCGGCTGTACGTACGTACATCCTGACTTCATTAACCCTTGGCACACATGCGCAGCGACAGTTAAAGTACTTTGTGTGTCCATCCGTCTGTATTTCTGTTACCGTGTTTTCTGCTACTACACGCAACAAGGCGGCCAAGAAACAACAAGCTTGATTTTCATAAATTACTGCGTTTGGAACTCATGGCATAAAGTGCAAACCCTCGGCGAACTGCACGGTACATAGGCTGGGCTATTAGTATGCGTTTACTCGTGGTCTCCCGCTAAGTAGCTCACAGAGAGTCTGACACAGGGTTAGCTACAGTAGTAGATAGCATACAGGAGTCGATACAGACAGACACACTTACAAAACCAAGTACTGTAACCCTCGCTGTGCATGCTGGCCGAGGGTTAATAATCATTATTGTGTCATCTCCACAAAGGCTCTTGTTGTATTCAGGTGTATGGTAGCTATCTACATTTGCAAGGTCACTCAGCTTCAGTGATGCAGATGAAACTATGCTGCTCCAAAAATTTCTACCAAAACAGTTACGTAGTGATACACTATCCTTTACAGCTCATGTGAGTATTTTCTATCATCGACCAAAGAACCTACTACTGAACATTACCAACCCTATGTTAGCACTTAAAATAAAAATACCTAAGGATTGCCAAATGACCCTTTTACTACGATGCTCTCCCCTGGAGTCACTTCCCTTCCATTTGGCAACTTGACTTCATTGGTGTTTGCCCACAGAGCTCGCTGCTTCACTTTGCTTGTTCGTGACTGTACGTTTTAGCTACCCCCTGCTCTCGTCATGTAGAGTACAGTATAACTCGAAATCCATGTGTTCAATGAGTGCATGAAATGTGCCATAAATGTACAATACCATTTAATTATCTCCCAATTAAAACGGTTGGGGAGCACTTGCACAGTCTGTTCATCATTCTGTATTGTGTGCCACAGAATTATGTGGTGCAACTTTATTTTTAAGAAAGTTCCAGTGTCAGTACTGGATTCAATGGCTTATGTGTTGGTTATGACTATACCCTCTCCTGGAGTAACTTGCTCCATGAGCTTGTTACGAATAGCACAAAGAAAATAACCACCACTGGAAAACTTACAAAAGCAACAACAATAATACAAGTGGAAAAACCTTTTTTTCCAAAATGAAGGGGGATAGCTATAGGGATGGCTCGAAGTACCAAAAAGGAAGAGACAAGGACAAAGAAACATGAAACAATCCCTATATCTTTGCTCTATTGGCAAAACAAAGATATAGGGATGGTGTCATGTATCTTTGTGTATCTTTGCTGGGTAGTGAGTGACCCCTTGTTTCTTCCTTTTTGGTGCTTGGAGCCATCCCTATATCCCCCTTCGTTTGAAATGATTTCCACTTATAATGAAAAGCATTAAAGTACAAACCCGAGATGCGCACACTCGTAAGCAAAGTTGAAGAAGACCGACCTACACAGGCTTCTGTGAAAGGCTGTAGAGAAGGTAAGCATGCTGCCAAGTGAGGCACATCTTCCCCTGTGCATTTGCCATGTTTTTAGCTCAACAATAGGCTTGATAAACGATCTATGCAGAATTTCCTATGTGAAACTGTTTACGGAATATCTCGCGCATGCGTGAACAGATTTCCAAACATTGAGGCTATAGAAACGCGCACGCGGTAAGTACACTGATGCGGTTACTGCTAATTGATGGGCTGGGCCATTTTACCGTTGTACTGACTCGTGGTCTGTTACCAAGTTGCTGAGAGTTAGTAACGGGCTTGCTACACTACTAAATACGCCCTTCATTGTGACTTCTTTTGCCTTCAAGATTCACAGAGCAAGCGGACGCGCTCGAGGTAAGCCTGTTCTAATTATTGGCTTTTTCGCTCGTGTTACACACCATAACTCCCGAACGCAGCAGTTTCAGAGAAAATCCAACATACGTTTCGACCTATACCCGAGGCTGAATACGTGGTGTTGTTTGTGGAGCGATTCATGGCTCATGAAGTGAGATGTTAGGTAACAGACAGACAGACACACACAACTACCCTCGCTGCGCATGCGCGCCGAGGGGTAATTAGCACTGGCTACCCTTGGAGACATCAGAAGTTGCAACGCAAAGCGAGTATCGATGTGTACCTAGCCCCGTGACAGACTCGGCAAGCTGGCAAGAGATCACAAGTATGTAGTAAACACAGCACAGCCCATCAATGAGCTCTTCTGCAAACTGCGAATTTAAAAAAGAGGCATATAGGGATGGTAAAAAAGAAAGGGAGACAAGATAGGGATGGGATACATGAAGCAATCTTGTCTCCCTTTCTTTCCTATATGCCTCTATTTTGAATTCGCAGGGTTTTTTATTTACTTGTCTCCGCTCATTTTATATACTACTACGTATATGTCTGTCAAAGGGGGCAATAATAGAGAAAAATGCCTGTTGTCGCCATGGGGAAAATCTAATACGCATGTAACAATAGACCATGTGATGCCAAGAGAAAAAAGATGCATAGCTCTGGACAGCTGTTTCGGGCTTGTTGGCCCTCATCAGCAAAGCATACCGCAACTTCTCTCTCTGGCATCACGAGTTTATAAAGGCAAGGTTGAGCGCAGCACTTGTGGTTTTGAACTAATGAGATTCATCCCCACAAAGCTTTGCTCAGGCGCAGCGCTTGTGGTTCTGAACTAATGAGATTCATCCCCACAAGGCATGCCAGTACCGAGCCAAAACCCGAATTCAGAATGCTGACATAGTGGATTGTCTGTGGATTGGGCCGCGGCAATGAAGCCAGCAAGCACCCATATCCTGCCAGCGCATACACATATAACAATAGACCATGTGATGCCAAGGTTTCATCTCCATGTGTGCTGCCGTTAGCAAGTTTGAGGAGTGAAGAAGTAAATGCCTGAGGCTATTTGTTGCTGTTCAGATAATACTAGGTTGTCATGGAAACGATGTCATGCGCATTCTGAGTGCTACCTACCATTAGCAAGTTTGAGGAGAGGTGCCTGAAGCTATTGTAACAATATGTAGTTATAGAAACATGTAGTTGTCATGGAAATGATGTAATACACATGTGTACCGAGTTTCATCTCCATGCGTGCTACCTTTAGCGAGTTTGAGAAGTGAAGAAGTAATTTTTTTATAAAATTGCCTGAGGCTATTGTTGTTGTTGAAACAAAGTGGTTGTCATGGAAATAATGTTACACGCATGCATACCAATTTTCATCTCCATGCGTGCTACATTTAGCAAGTTTGAGGAGTGAAGAAGTAATTTTGAAAAGTGCCTGAGGCTATTTGTTGTTGTGGTCATCATGGAAATGATGTAAAACAGATGAGCACCAAGTTTCACCTTCATGCGTCCTACAGTTAGCAAGTTTGAGGAGTGAAGAAGTAATTTTAAAGAAAGGCTTTTCAAACAATATGCGGTCGTCATGGAAATGATATAATAGGCATACATACCAAGTTTCCTCTCTATGCGTGCTACCATTGGAAAGTTTGAGGAGTGAAGAAGTAAATTTAACGATAAGTGCCTGGGGCTATTTGTTGTTGCTTACAAACATGTATTGTTGTGATTTTAATGTTGGTTATTGAATACGTTATGTCTACAAAGTTTCGTTCACATAGCTCTTACCAATTGTGAGTTACACTGACACATGTGATCCCATTGTAATGTATTGCCTGGGGCTAATTGTTGTTGTTTACAGTAAACAATGCTGTTTACAAACAAATAAGTATGACCAGTCTCTTCGGGTGACGGATGTCTGCATTCTTACAATAAACGTAATTTCGTTTTTGAGTTACGCGAGTTCAATCTGAAGAAAAAGAAGATGAACAAAACTCCCTATCATAGCCCCATACATCTACGATGCTAGGTACCGTGCCCATCCCTATATACTAAGTACTACCGTACTTAGTAATAAAGTAGCACGTGTTTATTGCCTCAGACTGTTTGTCGCCATTCACATGTTTCTTTCACCACCAAAGTACATAAGTGTATCAAGTTTCATTGTTCGAGGACCCATGCTTGTTTATGAGGGTAAGAGTCCCAATTCCTACTATATAAACCAAGTATACAGGTATAATGCCATCCCTTAGACCTGTAGATGGTACCATAATAGGCCAGTTGCACGAACGGTACAAGGAATTTATTAGTGACGTCACATCCGGAGTCTCGTTCGGGCTCCAGCAATGTATTGCGTTCTACGGAGAAAATGGAACCGTCCGTACTTAGAGCGGCGCAGCGCATAGCTTATACGGTATTTATAAGTTACTTACAGTAACCGTAGTATGTGTGAGAAAAAGAACGGACGCTCTAGCCGGTTCCTGCGCGGAGAAACTGGAAAGAATGGCGGGCAGTAATGGAACTAGTTCCTTGTTTACATCTGGCAGGCGCGAGGCAAATATGCGCAAGGTGTGTCACTCCGTGTGCCCTCCGGAAAGAATGGCTGGTTAGTTGGTGACCTTTCACGACGCACAGGGACACCGTCACGGAAGAGCGAACGCCGGACAAGGAAAACGAACAACGAAAGACCCACTTGTCCGACTGAGTATCTGAAATATATCTACGAATTTTAGCTACAGAACAACAAAAGACGGATTGATCGAAGACTGGACGAGTGTAGTTTCTTGTGTGGTTAGCTAGGGAGTATCGGCGTGCGCATTCCTAGTATAGAATTATTTTTGGGCTGCTTTTTCTGTCCTGGTTGGGAGTCGTTTTTGCTTGGCTGTTTGTGTTTGATAAAAGTCTTACTCGTTTCTTGTGTTTGTTGTACAGGGTTTCACATGCTGCCACTTATCCTGCGACCACGAAAGAAGGAGTGCAGCATACTTTTGGGGTGTCCTAGAGCGATCTTTTCCACTGCACATCAAGGCTGAAGTGAAGGGACTCAGATTATGCAAGGATATGAAGGTCTGTTGTTTTTTGTAGTACATACTGGGAGTACGTAGCTACGTTACTCTATTCAGTACCAGGAGAGAGTATCAAGTGGTTTCTTCAGCGCATATGCACAGCTAGGGTTAATGTTCTTGGCGTGTGCGTGTATTGTGTGTGGTACTGGCTTCAGGTTTTGCCCGCACACTGCGGTGGAATGAACTTTACTTGTATGATGTGTGTTCCTGTGCACGCGTTTACAGTTGGTCACCGGACATTTTCCGATGGATACCACTATGCAGGGTAGTTGCGCGGTCAATTTGTCCGGGCATGCCCACGCCCACTGTGCGTTGCGTAATAGTAAACACACACACTATGTGTTGCATATAGTAAGCATGTGTACTATGGATTGCATTGCGTTAGTAAGCACTTGCAATATAGCACAGGAGGTTTACACAGTCACTTAGCAGTCACTTAGAGCAGTTTTTAGAAGAGAGGAGGGACTGTAATAGCATCTGTGTGTGGCTGCAAAACCTTCTACGTGACTGTTGCTTAGTCTCTGTCTGCCTGGACAACTTGTTAGGATGTCCGGCCAAATTTACCAATGGTCTGACACTTTGCCAGAACAAATCCAAATCTTATCACATGCACTGGTTAGGATTACATGCTATTATGTTAATGGAAGGAAAGGACAGGATAAGTGAGGTTAGACGCAGAGTCGAGGGAACTACTTGTTGCAGAGTGCCAAGGGGTCCTAAGCTGTCAGCGTCCTGAGCACAGCGACAGCGTTACTAGGGAGCCTGAGGGACTCTACAACATGTAACCGGTCTATAGATATATTCCAGAAAGACAGCGAAACCCAGCAACTTTTGCGTCAGTTTACTAGGCGGTGAACAACTAGCGCTCCACTACTTGTACATCGTGCTGCCCCGCCTCCTGCCAACTGCGACAAGCACAACTGACACCTGCTCGCACGGTTGCAGAGAGAAGTCACGCATTCTCGTCGAGAAGCAGGGGTACGACATTGTCAGGACATCATGCATAAAGAAGATCCCGTGGGGAGATGAGCCTCATGCGGCAAGCCTGCGGTCTGTGACGCGACCTACATACTAACTACTGCTGAGTTTCCGCCAGGGGACCACGAATACTGCTTTGGATCTGTTCGTGACAAGTTTTACTCTACCATTGGTGGTTGGATTCATGTGTTGTGAGGTTCCTAGATGTATGAATGTGGAGTATGTGAGTAGGAAGGAGCCACCACATGCCTGGCTCAAAACCACATACAGGCGTGCCTTGAAAATGGCTGGGGGGCGACCAGATACCCAGCTCAAGAGCACGGTGTGCCTCGGACGAGGCTGTTGAACAAATAACCTTTTTGAGCTATCAATTGCTTACCTGAGCTCTAAATATCTATTGTAACTCATTTGATCTGTGACTACTGTTCGTTGGTTTTGTGGTCGTTACAGATGGGTCATGCCATGAATGACCTTGTATATTCATTTTTAAGAATGGCTTCTTGTAACCTGTTGTGTGTATTCTTTTTTCAGTCAGTAGTGTTTGACCTGCCGACAACTTCAGCATCTACTGTAGCAGAAACGTGGAATGATGGCTACATGAGACTTAGTGAGTGTCTAGAGCTTCCTGAGCTGTTGGAAAGGTCCCCGGACTTTTATCATCGAATGAGGTGTAATAGCAGTGGTAAGTAAGCTTGTTATAATGAATTTGTTGACCCTCTGCAAATGCACAGCAGAGGTATGCATTGTGTGTGTATCTGTCAATGGGTCATTCTCTCCATCTCAATGTCTGTATGTTTAACACTATGGGCGCCGCGCGCCACTTAAATGGCGCGCACGTAATTGCTCCGCAACGCCACGCGCCACTTTAGTGGCGCAGAATTACGTTTACGCGGATGGGCGTGGCAATATTCCGCGCATGCGTAATTCCGCGTACGTGGAGAAATTTCTGCAATACTACGCGGCGTGCAAAGTGTTGAACACTAGCAGCAATGTTTTTACCATGGTCCTGCATATTTTCAAAGGCGCCGCCTACTGTTTATTTGGCATATTCCGCGCAGTACGCCATATTCCACAGAATATCCTGTGAAAATAACAAGGATGGCCTGTGAAATAACAAGGATGACCTGTGAAATATACAGGAAGTGATATCCGAAGCACAGAACTTCTCTACGACTTTTCTCCTTGAAATCGGCCTTGTGATGAGCTGCTCAGAGTACAGAAGGTTAGCTTCGTTCTTTCTAACAAGAAGTGGCGAATTTAGCATGCACCAAGCATCTGCGGGTAGATTACATGGTTAAACCACTCGTTTCCAGGCTTATTTTCTGCCTACAATTTTTCTTGAGCCCTAAAGGAGGCACAGACTTTCCCGAATTAGCGTTCATGACGCAGTGCGTTTACTCACTGCTTGACTCGGCAGAGAAGGACGACTGACCGCGGCAGTTTTTCATAACCATCTCATCTGCATACTTTTCGCTAAGGATGCCTGGAATGGTGCAATCGTCAAAGAGAACTAGCGTTCGGTCCGACCGACCTGGCAGCTAAAAATGGGGGCGGGTCCACGGCCGTGCCTAAATAATTATGGTCCGAAAATGATGACGTTACCATGGTATAAATACCACGCCTACTGCGGGGTTTCCGCAAAATCCTCAGGAATGTGTGATAATCCCTTGGGCTATGCCCTCGGGATTATCAACACATTCCTTTGGGTATTTGCTATAACACCCTAGTAGACGTGGTATAACTACTACTTGTTTCTGTGCTTAGCCAAAAAGTACTGTATTTACAAAAAATGTTGTTACGAACAAGCTTATTGTGTAAAAATACTAAAATACAAATCAGTGGTGTCTTAGTTTAGCCCAACTTGTGCAACTCAACAGTGGTGTATTGCCTCAAAGATTAGCTGTGTTTTTATACCCAGTAATGTATAAGTTGCACATGCGTGAATCGAGCTGCTCAACTGCCACTGCAAGTAGAAGGTGTTATAGCTGATGGGTAGGCATACAATGTTGTGTGCATGGTACAATCGAAACATGCACAGCCAGTCTTGACTGTGCTACTTGTTTTACCTGTGACCATAATTTTCTCTCTATCATGGCAGGCTGGGTGCAGAGGGATAGCAACAAGCGTAGGTGTTCCAGCAGGCAGTTCAGCGGTGGATCCAAAAGAAACACCCAGTCTGGTTTTAGACAACACTGGACTAGCAATAATAAACAGTGAAACTTCTCGATTTGTGTGTATGTCATAATTAGTTATGAATGCGCAAGTATTTACTTTCTTGATCAACGTGTGCGTGTGGTCACGTGTATGAAAACCAGTGTTATTACCCTCGGCGCGCATGCGCAGCGAGGGTACTGTCTGTCTGTTTGTTTGTCTGTTACTCTACATCTCACTCCTCGAACGTCTGTTCGTCCCAGAAACGATACCATCTACCCAACGGGCGACGAAAGTCAGAAAATAAAGGCGATTTTCTCTGAAAATGCAAAGCTAGAGCGCGAAAAAGCCAATATGCAAATACACAACGGCTTACCACAGTCGGATCGATCTGCGTACTTCGGAGGCACCAGAAGATGCAACGCAGGGGCGTGTATCGCCTCTCGCATGCTATCTAGTGGTGTAGTAATCCCCATGCCCCGTCAAACAGACACACCAACCTGCAGTCAGTCTACAGAAAGCACGAACAAATCAAGAAGCGTGCATATGAACAGCGGATAAGAGAAGTTGAACACGCTACCTTCACGCCTCTGGTGCTCTCTGCTACCGGTGGCTTAGCCAGGGAGGCCAACACTTTCTACAAAAGACTCGCCTCCATGCTCGCCTCCAAGTGGGACCACACCTACAGCCACACTCTCCGCTGGCTACGTTGTCGTCTAGCCTTCTCCCTTTTACGCTCCTCCATCCAGGCCATCAGGGGTGCAAGATCATCATGCGGACATGCCATCAGAATGCCCATGGCGGTCGATTTGATCATCTCGGAAACACACCTTGTATCACTCTAAATTGCTCTCTATCTTCTTATTTATACCTGCATTCATACTGTATATAATATAACGTCGTGTGACGTTTAAAAATAAAAAAAAATATAAAAATATAAAAAAATCTAGTGGTGTAGTTAGCCCGCGTCAGACTCTGCGCGAGCTGGCAAGAGACCACGAGTAACAGCTAAAACTAAACCCAGCCCATCAATTAGTGGTACGGCGCACTTCATTTACTTACGCGTGCGCGTCACAGTGCGCCGAGGGGTTTGCACTTCAGTGTTTTTCATTACCCTCGCAGCGAGGGTTTTGTTCGTAAGTGTGTCTGTCTTTCTGTTACCGCCACTACGCGCAACAAACAGGTTAAAAAAAAGCGACACCAACGTGTTCAGCGCTACACTGGCTTTAGAATGGCGGTAGCTAGCCCGTGTCAGACTCTCCGTGAGCTACTCTAGCGGGAGACCACGAGTAACGCATACTAATAGCCCAGCCCATCAATTAGCGGGATCTCGCATGTGCAGTTCGCCGAGGGTTCATAAGTTTCGCGCGCTACAGCCAACTTTTCTTCATCGCGGGGAGCGGGGATGGAGACGGACGTCGAGCGGCGTCCAGCGTTAGAACTCGACGATTCGGCATCACTTCTCGATAAGAAAGTTGCTGCAAGTAAGGAATGTTCGTATCTTGTTGCGGCGCGCCATGCTGGCGTACAAACTTGCTTCAGTGGTGTGAGCTGCATGTGTCAATTTGTTTATCACTAGACAACCGACATGTATGAAGCTACGTGTGTGTACTTGGAAATTTTAATCTGCCTGCATTTGCAAGCATACTTCCTAGGGATGTCATGAACAAATCTTTTGTTGACTGGTCTGGCCACTGCAACAGTAGCTTCGTGACTGTTAGGATTCCGCTGTGCATGCAGTGCCGAATTGCAAACAGGCCACTTGTTTGAGATAATTATTATGCAACAGTGGAACATGTAGCATTTTACTGCCTTCTAGGGAAGGATATTCAGAGACTCAAATGGAACTGGTTGTTCGTGTGCTTGGTGGTAACAATTCGATCACTAAATCATTCTTGTCCACTTCCTACCAATCATCAGTTTATCATAAACCCAACTGCAGAAAGTCTGAATGTAACGTCAAAGGTATTCATAACCTGGCCATAAGTTTTTTTGCTACTCTATACTCCACTCCCTGAATAGGACATAGAGCCGGGATTGCAACAGTCAGAGACATTTTATTCCTTGACCTACTCAATGTTTTATCTCGGTCATGTGCTTATGGCATTACTCGGTGGATACCTCAGCAACAAGGTTCCAATGTGGTACCTGTTCATGGGAACTATTGTACTGCATATCATGGGATATTCATTGTACGCACTGTCAGTGAATGGCTGGGTGATGATGGTTTCACGTATACTTGCTGGAATTTCAATGGGTGCAGCCATATCAGTAAGTTTTGCCTATTTGGGATTTAGCACTGTGCAGTATGCTGAAAATCTGCGGACTCTTGGAGAATACGACTCAAAAAAATTTGCTCGAGCCAAAGGTTTTGTTTATAGCCTTTTCAACGTTGGGACTGGAGCTGGTTACATTGTTGGAGCATGTAGGTTTCTACATTCAGTATTTAACCACTAACACTCCAACGTTGTTTGGTCCACAGTGTTTCCAATAGTGCTTGCTCAGTTTGACGTTGATCAGTTTCGGCCTCCTGGATGGTTCTGTGCAGGAATAGGTGTGCTCCTATTGCTGCTACAACTGGCTTTATTCCGCGGAGAGTGTACTTGTGGTAATGATATGAAGAGGGGCAGTGAAATTGCTGTTTTGCAGACGTGGAAAAAACTACGAAAGCACAAGTTTTCCAAGCTTTTGTGCACTGTTGGTGTATCCGTACGATATTATACACTAGGTAGACTCTAAAGTTTTGCAACTTACAATAGTGCTTTGGAATTACAACAAAGCCCATGCCTCTGTGTGAAATCACTACGTTATCTCTGTGAATGCAACACAGGTTTACCTGTATCTGAACATTGTGGTCTACCATGAATTTATTGACACTGACTTGTTGACCTTAACATTGTTATACAAAGATACCACTTTACATTTTACTTGTTGGAGGAGTGAAGGGTGCACGATATGTAATTCCAGATATGCTCCTCAGCCCAATTCTTGCTGACTCATTTGGATTCTCCGGGGAGTATATTTCGTACTTTTTTCTGAGTGTTCTAGGAAGTCTTGTTGGTACAACCATTGTGTAAGTTAAACTGCTGTTTGATGACTTATCCTTCTATCTTTGTATGTATTGCAGATTGGTGTTCCAGGCATTTGGGTTCCGTGGGTACTTTCTCTCAGTTGTTGGAGGTGTGATGACAATGTCAGCACTTCTCATAATGACTGATTGGCAGTCAATACCTTATGACCCATGCACTGAACTGAGCATTTTCCACACTCCTAACCTTGTGGAGGAGTATAAAATGCAACTGTCAAATGATTCTGCAAGAACCGAAAGCTTCGGTCAATGCAACCACTTTGCAGTTCCAGGTTCAAATATAATATTATACTACCCAGTAGCAGTTTACCTTTTCAAAGATAACTATGTGAATGGGAAGACTGTTGATTGTATCGAAGTTTCTGAGTGTCCTGCTTGTAACAATACTACCCAGAGGTGTATGGAATGGGTAATGCCTAGTGGTTGCCAAACACTCTTTCCTCACACTAATGCAAGCAAAGTTCTTTGCAAGTCAAGTAACATTCCATTGTCATGCTCCATAGTTGAAAAGTACAGTGATTCATCTTTCTTGGCTGAGGTCCATCTACAAAGCTTGAAGGTTATTAGAGATAGCATTTATGACCTGGCAGTGAAAAAGTGTGAATCAGTCAATCAATGTCACTGGATTCCTAACTCTTATGTAACACATCATCATTGTGCTGACTGCCAACCTATATGCCGGAGCACACACCACACACTGAATTTTGTTCAGTTCACTGTGGGCCTTACATTACTCATGTGTACGATGGAAGTTATGTATATAGGGGTGTTCTTACTGCTTTCTGACTCTGTTAGCAAGAAATATCAGGTACGCAATACAATACATATTTAATATGTAAGTGGTACAAAGCTTTGTTGCAGGGCATTAGTGCTGGTGCTATGGTTGCGGCAATAGGCACTGCACGAAGCACGGCTCCTCTCTGGCGTAAGCATCACTAATCAATTTGTAGTTATTATTCCCTCCTAAATTTTTTGCAGTTGATTTTGCTTATGAAGGAGCTGGAAAAAGAACATTTCTCCCAATGCTGCTCCTATTCTCTTTTATATTCCCCCTGTGGTTAGGGTTCCTGATTTTATATCCCTGGATAGCTGGGAAGAGAAGTCGTGCTCAACAAAGCATGGAGGAGGAAGATGAAAAAACAAACTTAATAATGAATGAAATCAAAAGTTCTTCTGAGTAGGTACTTTCTCAAGTAACCATTTCGTGCAGTAAGGACTTTGAACTCTCTTTAGGTAAATAGAACAGGCATGATCAGCCCGGTGATATATATTTATTGCTGTCGTCTTGAAGAATACCATTATTATGCATCACGGAGGTGATGTTAAAAGTGATTAGACAATACTAACTCTGTTAATCTGGCATCCACGAACCCCGACATTAGTAGCTAGTTGTTGCTATGCACGTATTTAGACTGATGTGGACAAATCCACACTACAATGTTTGCTATATACTGCGGACACACACATGATTGATACTCAGCTACCAACCTGCAAATGTCAGATGTACCACCGGTTGACAGTGGGAATTGCAGTGGGAGGTGTGGACAGTGAGCTTGTTGGAAGGGGGTTCCTAGGGGCTAGGGGGGTGCACTGCTATTAGTGACACAATACACAAATAATAGCATCAACTGACAAATTAAGAAGGTCCGGCAACCTTGTACTATACAGGAAGATACAAGGTGGGTGTCTAACTGCAACTTAGTTTCATTTTCTAGCAGTCCCTGGTAAAATAGCTATCAAGTCCCTGTAGCTAAATTGAAAGACTGTTGCTCTTGGACCATACAGTTTCCTGCATCAGTTCCCGACTCTTACTGAGACACTTCTACTTTTGTGTAAACCAATGCAAGTCACTTCCACTCTCACCACTCTCTCTTGTGTGTGTGTTTAGTCAGGGTGGTCCAAAGAACGGTTAGGTAAGTAATGTTACAACATGTTGTGCCTAAAAACACCAAGACTCAGAATAGAAGCATTAAAGAAGGGTTTGGAGGGGGAGGTTGGAGAGTGTTCATGTGACTAGAGCGTTGTATATAGGACTCCAGAGGCCGAGCGTTGAGATGTCTTTATGATAGCAGCTGATGGCTGCTGCAAGTGGCTCGTGGTCACAGGAGCACACAGTATTCCCCAAAACCCCACCTAAAATGTAGCAAGCTTGGTCCGCCCTTCCAGCTTCCACCAGGTCGAAGTACTAAGCATCAGCTAGCTACTATGTGGGCTGATAGTGAGCTTAAAGAGGTGCAGCTCTCTCTGACGTTCACCCTACCACACAATGTCAGGCTTCATGTTGGTTTGTGTGATGTGGTGCGAAAGCTGTAGAGTTTTGTCGGGCGGTTGATGGTCACTAGATAGTGAGGTGGTATAGGCCTGCATGAAGTCCCCAAAGACATTTACGACCCTCTCACTATACCTTTGAATGCCCATCGCAACCTGGCAGTTGTGGAGAGTTTTCTTTGCAAAGGGTGGAGGTGTCTGGCCTGAATTTAGGAGGTCGCATTGGTTTGGGAAAGTGTTGAGAGAGGCATTCAGTGCAAACTTGAGATGCTCTGGTTGTAGCCCGTGCACTGCCTTCACCCATAGTTCAAGTGAGGTCTCCTAGACAAACCTTGGCATCCAACCTTGGGCAGGGAACTGGCACAGTCAACTTCCTCCTCTGTGATTATGGTCTCTGCATGATCACCACACAGCTCATCGCCCACAAACTGTCTGACGTCTGACTGGTCTGAACTTCATCTTCTGACTCTCTCTCTCTCTCTCTCTCTCTCTCGCTCCAGACGGAGCTATGCTGCCTCCTCCCTCCCCCCCCCGTGCGTGTGTGTGTGTAACATCTTCATTTTGTCAAATGGTACATACAAAATGATATGTGGTGTACATCAATGATCAAATTGCCTACAAACCACCGCACAATCACATTGAACCACAAACACAGTAAAATGACAATCTAGGGAAATACATACATACACAGAGATATTACTGCAATTTGTTCCTTGAGCACAAGATGCCGAAGGACCTAGCCATGGCTAAAGAAGCTGCACTCTCCAAAAGCCTCACTAGGTCTTTACTGAGAGATTTGCTGCTAGGTTCTCAAAACCAGGAAGGTCGGGGACCCCACGAGAGCCAACCGGGAGGGTGATCAGCTCTGACCTGTACCCCCTAGCCTTGGCCTGCTCCACAAGGTGAAGGTACTTTGCTCCGAGCTGCCTCTTCGAAGTTGGTTCGAAGCACACAGTCAACTCTACCAGGGTGATTGACTTGTGTGCCTCGTCCCACCACACCAAGTCAGGCTGTAGGTCAGTGGGGATGGTGTGATGGGGAAACTCGTAGGTGTCGCTGATGTCGGCCGTCATTGGAGGGATATTACAACTGACTGTTTCCGTGATGGCACTGAGGATCAAATCGTGCTGTACGTTGTATCTCCTAGAGTCCCTAGCCACACTGCAGTTGTTGAGAACATGCAGTAGTGACATGGCAGAGAGGATATGATGGATCCTTCCTCTTCCTCCAAAGGTAGAGGTTCGATCCACCGCTGTGTTGATGGCGAAATTCGGTTGGTCCTCAGGTAGAGCTACCACAGCCCGCGACCAGATTGGGGCACAGCTGGGGCTTGTACACCTACTCAACTGGCCTTGCCTCTCGAGACTCTGTAGGTTGTCAAGATGAGATTCCTCAGAGACAAGAGCCTTGGCAGACTTCGTGAGCTGCTGCATCCTGGGCTAATCTTCAATGCCTCTCTGGCCTCCACAGCGGGTCTGAACTTCCTTCTGGCAAAAGAAAGCTCATTCTTGAGGCCACGCTCAGCCAGGAACCGCACGCAGGAGTCCTGAGAGGTGAGGAGCTGACATTGCCGGGAGACCTTTTGTGGAGGGTGGAGGGAGACGGAAGGTTCAGGCCACCCAGCGAGCGGGGGAGGTAGAGGAGAGCTGTATTGGCTGACTTGCCGCGTACTGAAGAATGTTGACCCGGCGACGAGAGTTGGAGAACCAGTAGCCGAGATCAGTCCGGAGGAATACTGCGTCCAAAAGAGTGTTCATGACCGTGTTGAAGATCACCACTGAGAGAGGGTCCTCCTGGTACACCCCCTTTTGAAAAGAGATGACTGGAGTTTCCCACTCAGCAGTGATGACCTTGGCATGTAGCCCTGTGTAGAGGACCTGAACAGTACAAAGGAACTGGGGAGGTGCATGGTAGTGACGTAGAGAGAAGTCGACCAGAGAGTGGTGTACACTGCCGTAGGCATTGGCCAAATCCAACCAGCAAACAGTCACAGATTGGTGGTTGGAATGGGCCACTGTGAGAGGGTCCCCCTGGTACACCCCTCCCCTCTCTCGCTCTCTCCCCCTCCCCTAACAGTGGTTACTATATAGCTAAAAGGTAGTGATGTCATGTGGTTACTATAAATCTACTCATAGAGACATAACAAGGGTAGCTGTATATAGTCAGCTAGATAGGTAGTTCACTTCAGTATAAGCAAGTCAGCAAAAGCAACCAGGTATATGCTGTAGAGTCAATAAAACTCTGTATCTGTAATTGAGGTTTCCCTGTTTGGAAGAATTAGATACATAGATGTTTAACAATTAGCTGGACTCCAAAAGGTGGAGTGACCTCGCCCCATTCGGGAGTGTATTACATGTCGGGAGTATAAAGAGGCCGAAACATGTAATGCAGAGGAACTCCCCTGATGACCAGTGCAGTCACATAGATTTATAAGACTCTGATTCAGGAGACTACCGATATCAAACCTGTATATACATTTTAAGCGTTCGAATGCGTGTTTCTCAATGCCCCACACAAATATGGACAAAGTGCCGCCTAACTTTTGAGTTTGAGTTTTTTGACTCCCGTTAAAAATCCCTCTCTCTGTCGGTGGTGGTGAAACTTCTCATTATAATATTATTATAAGTGTAGAAAGAGGGGAGAGGTCACTAGGTGAAAGCCTAAACATGTGAACAACCATGTTGCGCTTATAGACACAGACTCGTAGCCATCATGTGACTGAGTTCCTCGCACACCAGATCCTATAGGACTCCAGTAGCGTAGTCCGAATGACGCTGAGGCTGAGTGTCGTGACATCTCGACATGAGCTGCTGACGGCTGTTGCCAGTGGCTCGAGATCTCGGATGCCCAGCATTCCCCGAGACCCAACCTCAACTGTTAACAGCTCTGTCGTATACCCCGCTGCCTTCCCAGCAACCACCAGATCCTGGTACTTGACCCTTTTCTGCTCTCGAGCATCAGCTACGTGAGACTCCTGATAGTTAGCTCCAAAGAGCCACAGCTCCCTCTGGCGGTCACTCCACCACACGATGTCAGGTCTCATGTTGGTTGGAGTGATGTGGTGGGGGAAGTTGTAAGGTTGTGACGGGAGGTCGATGGTGACTGAGAAGTCAGGAGGTAGAGAGGCCTGGATGAACTTGAGGACCTAATCATGTCTTTGACTGTACCTCCGAAGTACCATTGCAACATGGCAGTTGTTGAGGATATGGATGAGAGACTGCCGGTGTTCCATGCACAGGTTGCAGGGTGTCTCTGGTCTTCTTGCCCCAAGTGTGGAGGTTTGCATTGGTGGGGAGAGTGCCGAGAGAGGCACTTAGTGCAAACTTGAGAGGCTCTGGAGGTAGACCGTGCACTGCCTTTACCCACCGTTCAGGTGAGGTGTCCTTCCAAGACCTTGCCACCCCGCATTGTGCAGGGAGTTGGCACAGAAACTGGTGTCTCTCGTCCGCATCCTCCTTGTGATGATGGTCTTGGCAGCTCTCGCCACAGTGCGCTGACTTGTGAACTGATCACTGGACAGCAGATCGTCCACTGGCCGGTATTTCACCCTCAGACTCTTTCTCTCTTCCTCCAGATGGAGCTCCGCTGCCTTCCTCACACACACACACTCTCTCACACATAAAACAAACTTGTGGTGATGAAGCATCATCATGATGATAATATGATGAGTATATAGGAGGAATTATCGAAGAAAACTATCATCTTCCTCTGCAGCTGGTCTATGAATTCTGTCTAGCAATCTTCCTAACAGTCTTCCACTGATACGTCTTATCCATTGCAACGAGAATGGTTGCATAGCTGTAAGTATAGCACATAAAAATAGTTAACGTTATCAGTTTAGACACTTATTGTATTAGAGGAGTTGCATTTGGGAATAAGGTGCCTTCCCTTGTTATCCTGCCAATGTCATTTTTTTTACCTATCATGCAGTTGTCTGCAATTGCTAATTATGTAGGTAAACAAGATTGACATTCAAAGTGACCATTGGTGTTGATGCACCTAGTGGCACTGGCAGTCACCAGTTCCATCAAGAGAAAGTCCCATACAGTTCCAACCAGGTGTGAAGTCTTATGAGTTGTATTGTGTTGAAGATTTGAAAACCAGCTGAGTTGCCCTGGTAAATCAGTTGGTTATAGCCCCGCCTCACCTAGACTGCAGGGTGCAGTGGATTCGAAACCCACACAGCTCTTCTTGTTGCTTTCACACATGTAAACCCAAATGACAAAAGCACCATGTGTACCTCAACTAACAATAACTAGCCACCAAATACTGGGATACGGATGCACCCCAGACTTCCTTAACTCCCAGATGAGCCGATCAAGATCTAGGCCAATAGAACAAAGCGGAGACAAGACCCACACTACTTACACCCAAGGCGCCAAAAGAATGTGAGCATACTTGCTTTGAACCTGGTCCTAGTCAACATCTACAAGCTGAACACCATCCATGTCACCTGTAGGTAGCAACTAGTGCTATTAAGGAAGTAACATTTTTTGAACTTCGAATGAAGAAAACATTTTTCGCATTTTTTAGGCTTTGTTTTAATTAAGGCAGACTACCGGCAACACCAGTGAGATGGGGTCACCTGCTGCACTTGCCGAACATGACACAATCATAAGAGATATAATATATCCAAACTGACCTGCACAGCCACCTTCTTCATCCATTTTATAGCCAGGCAAACACAAGCATTCAAAGCTCCCTGGAGTGTTGGAGCACATGAAGTTGGCGTCTTCGTCACAATTGTGATCACCACTGATACACTCATTGATATCTACAGGAGTCAAAAGCTTTAGTTACAGTACAATGATAATGGCAGCTATTGTTAATAGACGAGGATAACATTGAAGATCCTGTGGTGCAGCCACACCCACAGGAAGCAACATAACAGAAAAGGGCAGACTAACACACATGGAAGATGCCTATTAATCAATGACAGTTGTCAACAACCCACTGGGAGATCCCTCTTATGAGACCGAAGTGGAGCGTCAGTCTAAAGGAAATGACTTATCCTAATCACTTCCTACAAAACAACCTACAGTGAGATGTACTACCCCATCGTTACACGCATATACTCAGTTTTGAGTTCGGCGTCTTTGGTGGTTTAGTTACACCTGTCTGTACACACTGACCATAGCACAGTGGTTTTAGCTTTGCCTTTGTCTTAATTGTGTTGTGGAGAAGATTTGAACCTCTACCAACTGAGTTGGCCTGGTAGCTCAGTTTGTATAGCACTCGCCTAGCCACCCAAGTGCCGTGGGTTCGAATCCCACCTAGGGCAGCTCTTCTATGTACTTTTCCTCGGAAAAAGTGTGGTCCTGTGGTGTACCTATGCTTTTTTGCCTTTGTTGCATCTTAGAGGGTCTCACCTTCACAGTTTCCTTCATTAATTTCATATCCAGTTGGACATTCACATGTAAAGCTTCCAGGAGTGTTGACACATTCAAAGTTCACATCACAGTCATTAGGACCGTTTGTACATTCATCAATGTCTACATATAGAAACATCAACTTTAATTCGACAAGCCACTTGTGACATTAACATGAAGGGCTCACCTTCACAGTTTCCTTCATTAATTTCATATCCAGTTGGACATTCACACGTAAAGCTTCCAGGAGTGTTGACACATTCAAAGTTCACATCACAGTCATTAGGACCGTTTGTACATTCATCAATGTCTGCACAGTCAATAAACTTGCAGTGCATTCATCAATGTCTACATAGAAACATCAACTTCAAAATTTAATGCACAGAGCTACTTGTAATCTTATAATTATTTCAGATAACATAGAATGCCTCACCTTCACAGTTGCCTTCATTTATTTCATATCCAGTTGGACATTCACACGTAAAGCTTCCAGGAGTGTTGACACATTCAAAGTCCACATCACAGTCATTAGGACCATTTGTACACTCATCCACATCTACATAAAAACATCAACTTTAATTTTTAAACCTAATAGCAGTGGCAGATCTAGGATTTTGAAAGGGGGGTTCCGCTGTCCAGAACGCTTTCGACTGTGCTCGTGCACGAACACGAGGCGGGCGACGCATGCGCACAAAATGACAAAAAAGGGGGTTCCGTGGAACCCAAGGAACCCCCCTAGATCTGCCACTG